GCTGGCCCTGTGGCTTAGCGGTTAAGTGCGCGCACTCCGCTGCTGGCGGCTCGGGTTCGGATCCCGGGCGTGCACCGACATACCGCTTCTCCGGCCACGCTGAGGCCGCGTTCCATGTACAGCAACTAGAAGGATGTGCAGCTATGACATACAACTATCTACTGGGGCTTTGGGGGGAAAAATAAATAAATAAAATCTTTAAAAAATAAATAAATAAATAAAGTTCGAAACTGTGGTGAAGGTGGCAAAACTTACATGTTTTTGCTTGAATAGGAGCTACTTAGTCAACAAAAACCAGGAGGATGCAGGTCAATCAGACAGAAAACCAGGGAATTCTGTTTCTTACAGGGTGGGGCCCAATGTTACTCTAAAACCTGGCTCTCTACCACCAACTTATACCACGTCGCCATTAGCATTCTAGTAAGACGGAGAGACTAGCAAACAAGGGACCACAGGACAAACGAGTGTCCCAGGCACTCGGCACTCGTTCCAGACACATTCACTGGGGGCTGCTGTGGGCGGGGTGCCCAGCAGGCCGCCTGCGAGAGTAGGAGGAGCAGGGCTCTGCAGGCAGACAGACGTGGGTTCAACCCCAGCTCCGCGCCCACCAGTTATGGGACTTCGGCAAGTTACTTAATCTCCGTGGGTCTCAGTTTCCCGTTTGCAAAATGGAACTAAAAACCTCCTAGAATGATATGTGGGATGTGTCACCTATTAACAAGAAGATGCACCGGAAGCACAGGAAGCACATGAGACAGGCCTGTGGAGATGAAGGAAGAGGGAACTCTGGCACAGGGCCGACTCGCGTCAATGAGCCCGATGCTTTCCTCCAGCTACCACATGCTTCCTAGGTCCCAGGGGCCACAGAAGGTACTGGAGGGAAAACTCCAGTTCAGACGGGACTGCGAGAAGACACCAAGAGGCCTCTGGGGCACACAGGATGCTCCTGCAGGAGGTCACAGCATGAAGTTTGAGCAACAGAGCCTTGGAGGCGAGGCAGGGCTGGAAAGCATTGGGAAGAGCAAGGGGTTTTTGTGGAGATGGTGGGAGAACAAGCCAGGCTCGGTCAGGTGGAGTGGGAACAGAGGGTGTGAGAATGCCAGGCCAAGCGATGTCAAGCCAGATGTTCTGGGGGAAAGGGGAATGGGAGCTGCTGGAGGTTTCTGGAGCAGCAGGGTGTTTGAGGAGGCGTTTTAGAAGATGAATCCTGAAGTGGTGTAGGATGAACTAGGAGGGAGAGGCTAAGCAGGAAGAGGGACAGCCCCAGCCTGAACTTGTGGGCGCGGTAAAGAGGTGGCCAATTCCAGAGTCCATCAGGCTGGTGAGGGCAAGGGAGAAACACAAGCTGGACTCCAGAAGGGTCTGGGGAGGCGGAGGCAGGTTTAGGGTGCTCTGCAGGGAAACGCCAGAGGCAGGAGAGCACAGAGTAAGGATGCCAAAATCTGGGGGCAGAAGAGAGAGTGGAGGCCTACGGGTGGACTACAGTGACAAGCGTTTCGGGGTTCAAGGAGGACGGGCCCCAAGGACAGGCCAAAGGGGTTAAGGATGGCAAGGTCATCAGTAAGCTACGAGAGCACACGGTACAAGGCGGTAAGGGACATGGGTGTGTTTCCAGGGTGGGCTGCAATTAAGGACCTGTTTTGGCGAGGTGAAGGGCAGCTGTGCAGAGAGGCGGGGAGAAACATAAATCAGCGAGATGCTGATGGAGGGAAAACAGCGCCCCTAGAGAGAGGACTACCAGCTCTTCAAACTGACAAGATTTATATTTAGGGTCAGAAGAGCCGGTATGGGGGAGTACAGAGCAGACCAGGGAAGGCGCTGATGGAACAGCGCAGGCAGTGCTGGGCAGAGGGAGAGCACCCCGCCCTCCGCAGAGCCACAGGCTAATGGCTTCACTCACCTTCCCCTGGCCCTCCTCCTTCCAAGGGGGCCCTACAGCCCAACCAGAAATTATCCTGGGATCATAGCCATGCTTCACCTTAACTATCTGTGAACCCATGGGAGCCCCCAGCTAGCCTGGAAGCGCCTGGTAGGGCTGTGCCTCACACCTGGATCAACAGAACACCTGGTGCAGAGCTTCACTTAAGAACAGGTGTAAAGAGGGCCAGCCCCGTGGCTTAGCAGTTAAGTGCGCTCGCGCTCTGCTGCTGGCGGCCCGGGTTCGGATCCCGGGCACGCACCGACGCACCGCTTCTCCAGCCATGCTGAGGCCGCATCCCACATACAGCAACTAGAAGGATGTGCAGCTGTGACAAACAACTATCTACTGGGGCTTTGGGGGAAAAAAATAAAATTATAAAAAAAAAAAGAACAGGTGTAAAGAAATGTTTACATAATTACCCAGAGGAAGAAAACCTGGCATGCCTTCATTCAACAAACGTATAGGGAAAGAAACAGGAAAAAGCACAGAAGTCAGGGACCTGAACTTGTCAGAGGCCAGAAGATCCAGGCTACCAGTCTCTAACAGCTCCTCATTCAACTTGCTCCCATCCCCACCCCACACAGAGAAGAAAAGCCACCTGTGATGGCACTGGGTGGTGCAAGTCTCTGGTCCCTGCTTCACGGGTTTACCTGACGTCTCCTGGCTGCTGGGCACAGGGTCAGGAGCGCTGAGCCAGAGGCCTGTGCCTGCTCTCATTGGGCGCCCTGGCTAATGTGCAGACAGACAGCAAACAGACCCACAGACATCTGTGGACCGTGACTGGTGCCGAGGGGAAGACACACTGCTATGGGGGAGGGCTACCTATGACACGTGACCAGCAAAGGCCTCTGGGAAGAATGACAGGGAAGAGTGCTTTAGGAAGAAGAAACAGCCAGTGGAGACACCCTAAGGACAGAGAGAGCCTGGACTATGGGAGGAACAGAAAAGCAGCAAGTATGGCTGCAGTGTGGGTGCCAGGGAGAACAGGAGGTGGGAAAGGCTGGCAGGCACCTGACCAGCAGGGCTTCCTAGCAAGGAATGTGGATTTTATTCCAAGAGGTTCTAAGAAGGTCAATCACATGACCTGATTCAGGTTTGCATACCTTACCTGACAGCAGCAATCACTGCCTTCCTCTAAACCTAATCCTTCATCAGTAAAATAAGAATCCTTTTTCCTTGAGCAGATAAGCACCAACATATTAGAAAGCACTTAATAAACTCTAAAGCACTCAATAAACATTATCTATTGTCATCATCAAAGTTCAAATTAGGGCTAGTGTCAAAATTTGATAAATGTAAAAAAGATTCCCCGGGGCCGGCCTGGTGGTGTAGGGGTTAAATTCGCACCATCGGGATCCTGGGTGTGGACCTACACTGCTCATCAAGCCATGCTGAGGCGGCATCCCACATAGAGCAACCAGAAAGATGTACAACTAAGACATACAACTATCTACTGGGGCTTTGGGGAGAAAAAAGGAGGAAGACTGACAAGAGACATTAGCTCAGGGCCAATCTTCCTCAAAAAAAAAAAAAAAAAGATTCCCCAAAAAAACTGGGAGCACTTTCTCATTAAATGAGCCTGAGTTTCACCCCCCACACACACACCCTAAACTGTAGCAACTGGCTATTAACAATAATACCCAACATCTGTAAGGTGCTTAATGGATTACAAAGCACTTTCATATCTGTTACAAGAACTTGTTAATTAATAACTGCTGGTCTTCAATGCTTTCAATTTAGTGACAGTGTTACAAATGGGCAGTTCCCGGCAAGAGTTACCAGGTATGCATGTCTCTTTCCTTGGGTCAGCTGACCAGTCATGTCCACCTGCCTATCAGCTCTCCTAGGGTTTGGCATTCTTACTGCTGTGGGCTCTATTCCCAAATGTCCAAATCTGTTGGACGATTGAATGATGATAATAATTATAGGATCAACGAGTGCTTCCGATGCGCCAGGCACCGTTCTAAGTGTTTTACATGCTTAATCTTCACATTACACCAACATTTTTTATATTCCCTTTTCCAAATGAGGTGACTGAGGCGTGGAGACGATAAGAGCTTCGTCCAAGACACTCAGAAAAGTAAGAGCTGGAGCCAAGATTTGAACACAGGATGATGTGACCCTGTGTCCTCACTCGTAATGTCGACGCTGTGCTACATAATTCTGGCAAAGTGCTTATCATACGGTGCTTGGTACAACACAGCTATTCAGCAATTAAAGGTAGCTGTTATTAGTAGGACACAGGTAGTTTCTAGTTCCCACGAGAGTGTCACCTCCAGGAGAGCAGCGACCTTGTCTGTCTGGGCGGTTGCTGCGCTCCCAGCACCTGGCCCAAAGCATATCTGACGGATGGATAAATGAATGGACTTCCCTCCCAGAGAGCAGGGCTGCCGGCGCACGGCTCTTCTATGCACGTCTGTGTCGCGCCACGAAAACTGCCCCTTAGGAAGAGCATCAGGCGGATCCGAGGACGCAGCAAGACGCCCGGAGACGTGCGGTCCCCTCTTTCACGGTTCAGGGGTGGCGGAAGCGGCTCCCCAGGGAAGGAAGGATGAGTCTGCGATGGCGCTGCAGGCGGGTCCGGGCTCCGGCGGGCTCTGCCCTGCACGCCGGCTGACACCGTCCGCCCCAGCGCCGGGACCGGGATCGGCGGGAGACAAAGACTCGCGGGGCCGCCGCACGGGCAGAGATGCTCGCTTCCCTCGCCCCCCTCGTCCCCCTCCCGGAGGGACCCAACGCGGCCGCGCATCGCCCGGCCTGGGAGCAGCGGTGCCGCAGGGCCCGAGCCCCAGGCCGAGCAGACAGACGCCGCAGCCCCGCCTGGTCGCCGCACGCAGAGGGTCGCTCGGGTGCGGGAGGCCGCGGGCCGCGACAGCCTGTCACCTTCAGGACCGCCCGCCCACTCGCCCGCCCGGATCCGCGGAGGCCCCTCAACGCGACACGCGCCGCCCGACTGGGCCTCCCCGCGCCTCGGCCTCC